GGGGGGGGCGGGGGGGAGCTGCACGCCTCGACGAGCGCCTCCGCGTCTGATGTGTGCAGGGCTCGCGCCTCATCGAGGATTGCGAGGGAAGGCTCGAGGAGAGCCAGCTGCAGGATCTCGTTCCTCTTCTTCTCGCCGCCCGAGAAGCCGCTGTTGACGTCGCGGCCGAGGAAGTCGGGGCTCATCGAGACCTGGCGGCGCGTGTCGGGGACGTGTCGGGGACGCGTCTCGCGGGGACGTGTCGGGGACGTGTCGTGGACATGGCCCTGCGGCCGGGTGGCGCGCGCCTGGCTCATCTTCTCGCTCAAGACGCCGAAGAACTCGATCGGGTCGTACTCGTCCAGGCCCTGCGCCTGCGCGCCGTGGCAAAGGCGAGTCGAGGACTCGCACACACACACGCACACACACGCCGCCCCTCCTCCCCTCCTCCGCCCCCTCCGTCTCTCTCGCGGCGGGCGGGCAAGCCTGGCGGCGCTTGTTGACGGCGAGGCGGAGAAAGTCGTTGTTTGCGACGCCCGGGATCTCGACGGGGTACTGGAAGGCGAGGAAGACGCCCTGCTGCGCCCTCTCCTCCGGCTCGAGCTCGAGCAGGTCCTCGCCTACCTCCGCGCACCTCGCGTCACACCTCGACCGAATCTCGCGCCGCCTCCCGCAGCGGGCAGTCACCCTCGAAGAGGGCCGAGCCGCCCGTCACCTTGCGGAGGAGATGGAGGCAGGGTGGGCCGCACGGATCGGGCGGCCGCGGCGGCGGTGCGGGCGGCGCGGGCGGTCGGGCGGCCGCGCCTCGTAAGCTGGGTGTCCGACGATGACCTTCGAGAGGGTGGACTTGCCCGAGCCGTTGGGCCCCATAATGGCGTGCACCTCGCCCTTGCGCACCTTCAGGTTCACTCCCTTCAGGATGGGCGTCTCGCCCACAGCCGCGCACAGGTCAGACACGTCGAGCACTGTTTCGCCCGCCTCCATCTGCAGCGCGCCGCCGCGCCGCGCTGCTGAGGAGGGAGCCGGCCGAGACCCGAGCGCGACCGCCGCCGCACCGCTGGAGGACGCGACTAGCAGCATCACCGTGCTTCTGACAACCATGCGAGCAGTGCGGCGCGACGCTGGCAGGCGGCACGAGATGGAAGGCGATGGACAAGAAAAACGTTTATTTGAGCTAGACGTTGGGTACGATTCAAACAGCGCCTGAACGCATGGCGTTCAGGCGGCACTTCTCTCGCGTCGGCTCCGCCGAGCGCTGCACAGAGACCATCTTCACTGACCACCAACGACAGGTGTGCGACTACGCGCTCGTCTACGCGGAGGGAGAAGAAGAACGACGGCGAAGTGCCGTACTCGGTCTCCTTCACCGCGACGCAGAGCGGCGACGTCATCGTACAGCTGCACCCGCACTCGCAGCTCGAGCGCGCGGTGCGCCACGAGCGGCAGGCGCAGGCCACGGAGCCGCCTGCGAGCGCGAGCCCTGCGGCGCCGCCCGCCCCTGCCGCCGCGCCGCCAGCCGCGGAGCCGGCGCCCAAGACGTACGCCGCCGCAGCCGCATCGCAGCCGCAGGGTGCCACCGCGGGTGGCCAGCCCGCCGCGCCTGCGGGCCCGGCCGCCGCCGCGCGCGTGCCGCCGCCACCCAGCGGCGGCGGAGTGCGCGGCTGCTCCTTCACTGTCCCTAACCCGGGCAGGAAGCGTGGGCAGCAGCAGCGCGGCAAGGGCCGCGGTGCCAGGGGCCGTGCCGATGCTGGACCCCGTCTCGTTGACAAGAACGCGCTGTCCGCGCGCGGCAGCGGGCCCTCGCGCCAGTCGCGCTCGCCGTCGCCCGACTCTCCGCCCGCCAAGCGGGCCGCCTCCGCTGACTCGTCCGGCTATGAAACCGATACGCCGGACGAGGTGCAGCAGGAGGCGGTCCGCAGGGTATGCGGCGCGCTCGGCATGAGGGAGCAGTTCGAGGCGGCGATGGCGGCGGGCGAGCTGCTCGAGATGCTCGAGAGCTTGCCGCGAGGGGCGGTCGAGGCCTCTGTCCGACAGATGCGGGGTTACAACCGCACGGGCGAGTGGCCAGAGCCCATTCTCACCAGCCCTGCCCCGCAGCGCGGCCGCTCGCCAAGCCCCGTCGAACGCGCTGGCGCGAGGCATGGCGCATGCAACGCGCAGCAATGCTCGCCTCGCCTCGCGCAAATGCGACCGTCCTCGCAGCCGACAGTCCACCGCCTGCTACAGAAGCACTGCGACGAATGCGGCACCGGCGACGCATGGCAGGCTGGTCATGACGCAGTTATAGGGTGTTGTGTGCCGTCAGAGTGACTCTCTGTGTGTCAGGGATAGTCAGGGCCGTCCATCAGAGCTCCAGTAAGCTCGGAGACACCCCATTAGTGCGACTCGACCTCTTTGAGTCACTGCCTTCCCGGCGGTTTGGCTGTAGAGCCTCTACAACAAACTCTACAACAAAATCGCGCTCTACATCGCTCTACAACGCACCCGCCTCGTCCCGCGGCGGATGTAGAGCTCTACAGCTCTACAGCTCTACAGCGCTCTACACTCTACATCCTCTACACCCTCCCTCAGGCGGCGCCATCTCGCGCGGCGAGAGACTACGGCGCTGCATCGGCGCCAAAACAAACGGGAGGTCGCGGCGCGGCCGCGGCAGCAAAAACATCGACGTTCGCTTCTGCTTCTCGTCTTGTCGCAGTCGCACACGCGCGCGATCCGCGTCGCTCCGCGAGGACACGAAGGCCGGGGTTCGAACCGGCAGCATAAGAGCGCTGGTTGGAACGCCGGCCGATCGTGCCATGGAGTGATGCAGGTCTTGTACGCTCTGGAAAACCAGCTCATGATATATGACTGGTTTTGTCCGCGGGCGCGAGGGCACTGCGGAGGCGGGCGGCGGCGGCGGAGGCGGCTGCAGCAGCACACGGGCCTGGCGGCGGCGCGCGGACGGTGGCGGCGGCGCGCGGACGGCGGCGGCGACGCGGCGGCGCTGCTCCTCTGCTGCTGATGATGACAATGATGCTGCTCCTGCTGCCCCTCCCGCCCGCCAGCTGCCCGCACGCTCGGTGGATCTCTTCACCTTCACACTGGTCGAGTCATAGGTTTTAGGGGCGTGGACGGCGGAGCTGGATCACACACACACACACACACACACACACACAC